GGCATAGTTTATCTTCATTTTGTTGGAGTCTGAGTCTGAGTATTTGTTTTCTTCATTTCTCTGGTTCCTGTACTAATTTTTTACTGTGGGGAAACTGGTTTCCCTGTTTTTCTGTCTTCCCATCATTGCCCTTTGTGTTGTTATTGTCCCTGTACTGTGTGCAGTTAAGTATTTTCTGCTTGTAATAATGGCACTAGTGACATTTAGAATGGGAGGGTGGGAGGAGATGGAAAGCAAAGAAGTGAAAGGAAAAGGGAAAAACAAAGAAGTAGAAAAAAAAAAACAAAGAAACAAACGAAAAAAGTTTCAAAGATATAAACAGGGAGAGACAGTGTACTAATCAACCGTAAGCTAAAAAGGCATTGGAGTGACAGAGAAAGGGTTGAAAATAAAAAATAAAAAGAATATAAATAGAAAATAAGTAAATGAACAAAATATGTATATATATAAATCTCCAGGTTCAAATGCAGTAAAGTTTCAGTCTTAATAATTTTGGTTTTCGTTCCTCAGCCTCCAATCATGGAGATCGTGCCTCAGTTGTTGTTCTGTAGTTGTCTCATCACAGGGGAAAAATAAAATAGAACAAAACTGTGCAAAGCAAAAAAAAAACCAACAAAGTGTCCAAAGTTCAAATGCATGCAATACAGTTTCAGTAAATTTTTCAGCATGCAGGTTTAGTTTGGTTGTTTTCTCTTCAAAGGTAAGGAGAGAGAGAAAAAAAAAGAGTCTTGAGACAGGTCTGTGAATGGCTATCTGCGGCTGTGGTTCGCTTGTCCGCTGCTGACAGCCTGCTTTTGCTGGCGGCGTTATTTATGCGGATCTCTGGGGTGAGCTTAGCACTCACCTGACCCCGCAGGCTTTGTTTACTCAGAGTTCTCCTGTGCACAAGCCACTGCTACAAGCTTTCCCCTTTCCCAGCACACTGGGGGAGGTGGCACTGCACCCACTTTCTCAGGCCTGCATGTTTATTTACAGCTCACGTGGGAAGTGGGTCTCCCCCTTCTCCTGTGGAGCTTTCCTCCCTCTGCCATTCTCACAAGCTTTCCCGCTCCTGGTTGCTGGGCACACGCCCCCACTCCCGCCCTCTCCGGCCAGGCCCGGCTTGTTTATTTACAGTTCTGGGAGGGATTCCCTGCCCCCTCTTTGGCGCTCAGGGTGCCCCACCCTCTTTGCCACGTGTCTTTATTGTTCTTATTGCTTGTTACTCAGTTTCTCTTTTTTCCCTGGGTGGGGGTTGGTCTGTCCAGGGGGCTATGCTGATCTGGCCCAGGGTTGTCTATGGGAGTACTGCGTACCACTTAGCTCACCTTGTGGTCCGCATCTTCCCAAGCTGTCTGGGCACCGGCGTCTGGCGGTGGCCCAGGAGCCCTCCTGATTTCTCTGTTCAATGTGAAGTGGAGATGCTCTGCGCAGGCTGGAGGTGTGGAGGGGTCAAAGTTTTGCCTCTTCTTGGTGGCCTTGCCTGCAAGGTGTGTCTCCAGCGTCTCTCCAAGATTTCACTTTAGGAGGCACACTTTCTGCTTCCTCCCTCTAGCTGCCATCTTGGAATCCCCTAATTTTTCTTAATGTTGGCCTTGGAAAAGAAATTTCTGATAGCTTCTATGTGATTCCAACACTGTAGGTGTGGATAATCTATACTATCAGTTTTGAGCATTTTACTTTTTTGGAGAGTATGTGAGTTATTTATACACAAAGAAATCTATTTTATGTCGTTGTTATTTTAGAATAATTGTGTGAAATTGTGTAGTTGCAAGCAAAAAGTAGTTTGGGCTTGGTGCTGATGGCTCATACCTGTAATCCTAGCAACTTGAAATACTAAAATCAGGAGGATTGCAGTTCAAAGCCAGCCCAGCCAAATACTTGGCAAGACCCTATCTTCAAAATAACCAGAGCAAATGGACTGGAGGTGTGATTCCAACAGCAGAATACTTGCTTTGCAAGTGGGAAGCCCTGAGTTCAAACCCCAGGCCCACCCCCCAAAAAATAGTTGAGCCAGGTAAAGTGGCTCAAGCCTATAATCCTAGCTACTTGTGAGGTGGAGATCAGGAGGATGTTGGCTCCAAACATGCCCAGGCAAAAACTTTGTGAGACCCCCCCTCCCCCATATCAATCAATGACTGGACACAGTGGCACGTGCCTGTCATCCCAGTTATATGGGAGCACAATTATGCATGGGAGCACAAATATTATGCCAGGCTGACCTGGGCATAAAGCAAGAACCTATCTCAAAATTACCCAGCATAAAAAGGACTCATGGAGTGTCTCCAGTGGTAGAGTGCCTGTCCAGCAGGTATAAGGCCCTGAGTTCAACCCCTACTACCACCCCCCCTCAAAAAAAAAAGTAGTTTGATACATGAAAAAAAAAATCAGACCTCTGAGGTCTTTTTATGTTTATTTCTTTGCTTGTTCAATTTGTGCTTATTCTCTGATTTTTATAAAATGGTAATGAATAATTTTCATTTAAAGACATTTGTAAATTTTTTAAACAATGAGAAATACAGACTCAAACAAATTTTTATCTCTAATGTGATCTTAAAAATTTAGCTAAGGATAACCTTGTTATTCAGGTTCTGAGAATTTGTAACATTGTCACAAGAGGAAAATGCAATCCAAATGTTCACATTTAATTTCCACTTGAAGACTGGAAGACTCTGGGAAATGAGAAACCCATTTTCTTGAGGAGAGAGGCAGAGAGGTTTTGATGCTGGAAACCTACCTGGGCCATGAAATCTCCTTAACTGTGAACAGAGTTTGACCTTTCTTTTTTTGAGTCCTTAAGACTTACCAAATAGGATCTAACTGCTTGCTGTGGGTGAACTCTGTTTTCTTGTTCTTCCATGTAGAATGTCATCAAGCCAGCTCAGTCAGGACCAGGAATGTACAGACCTTCTCACCAAAAGTTTTGGGTTGAGCTGTCCCTGTAGATATTAAAAATGAACTCATGTTTGATCAGATTCCCTCTGTCTAACAATACTGTATGTTCCTGTAAATAGTCAGTCACTGTGCTTAATATATTATTGAGGGTTAGAAAACCAGTATATTAAACACTTTGTTAACTCAAATAGAGACAGAATTGTGGCTGCTTTTTCCCTCTTCATTATGCTTATCTGTGATTTTTATATCTATGTTTTCTTATTTATTTGCTTATCTATGTTTTCTTATTATACAATAGAGCTATGTAACAAATTATAAGTAAAAATAATTTTTAAAGGTTCTATTTAAAATAGTTTTCTTTACAGTATAAATTTTGGGAGGAAATTTCACCTGCCCCCTTTTCTCAAAAACATCCAAAGAATTGGTCCATTGTTTTTGTACTAGCTAAAATTACTATGACCAAATTTTCCTCACATCTATTTCTTTTAACAGTTTTCCACTTCTGTTTTTAATCTTCACCCTGATATTTGTATGTCTCTGTGTGTGTGTTAATTTTATTTCTTGTTACTAGAGAGAAATATAGTGTAACAGAAAACGTAAGCATTGAGAGTTACAAAAGTTTAAGAAATTTCAGAGCTGGGCTTGGTGGTACATGCCTGCATCACCATATACTTTGGGAGATTGAGGCAGTAGTGAGTTCCAGACAAACTTGGGCTATGTGACAAGAGGGGGTGGGGAGGGGGGGGATGGAAGAGGGGGAGGGAAAAGGGAGAGGAGGAGAGAAGAGAAGAGATATGGAGGGAGAGTAGGAAGGAGGAGAGAAAGGGAGAGAATGAGGAGGGAGAGAGGGAGAAAAATTTTCAGACAAGTTCTAATTATCTGCTTCTATTGCATGTTAAATTAAAAATGAGATTCGGCATTTCAAAACATTTACATAGTTCTTAAATTTTTTCATAGTGCTTGTACCTAGGAACAAGCATCATTTGTTAAGTACTTTCTATTTATGTCACAGTGCTAAGTCCTTTACGTGCATTATATTATTTAGTCTTCACAGCTACCCTAAGAAGTGAGTACTGTTATTGTACTCATTTTACATATGAATAAACTGAGCCTCACACAGTTTAAAAGATGTGGATAAAATCCTGGAATTTATAACTGGTAGAAGGAAGATTTGAATTCAGGTCAATAAAATTGCTGCCTCATTTTGTGTCTTGATTATCTAGGTGGTCCTGTAGATACAGGGTGTATTATTTAGGACTGATCACTAGCTAGTATATAACAGTGTTACACTCTGGCCTGTTTTTGTTTTGAGTGGTCAATGCTAGGACCACAGGATTTTGTGTAAAGCCCTGCTTGTGGGCTGAGCAATGGTTCAAGTGGTAAGAGTGCTGGCTCTGGGTTTAGGCCTCCCATACCACACACACACAAAGTCCAGTTCATTTACTGTAAAATTAGGGTGATATATGTGAAGTAAAATCGAGGCAGAAAATAACATTAACATGTGATAACATAGTTAGTATAATCAAACATCATTTTAAGCCATTATCAATTGAACTCAGAGACTTATCTTCCTGTCACACACTAAGGGGAGAATATATACAGGAGGAACAGGGAAAGATAGGAAACCCAAAACTTGGAAGTGTTTGATGTGCCCACTGCAGAGGAGCTAATACAGTAACCTTAAAATGACAGAGATCACAATGGGAAGGTGACTGGGAAGTAGTGAAGAGGTCTGGTAGAGATGAATCAATTTGGGTTGTAATATGCATGTACATGGAAGCAAGGCTAGGAACTCTCTGTATAGCTATCCTTATCTCAAACTAGCAAAAACACTGTATCTTTCTTATTATTGCTTATGTCTCCTCTTCAACAAAATTGGAGAAGAGGGCAGAACAGGTTCTACCTAGAAGCAAGGGGGGTGAGGGGGAGTGGGGCAGGGAAGAGAAATGGCCCAAACAATGTATGCACATATGAATAAATGAATAAATAAAAAAAGAGACTATCTTTCATAGCTTTGATGGCTTTATAATGTCCAAAGCATTGGTGTTCAGTAAATATAAGTTGAAGGGATCAATTTTTTCATGTTATTGTTAGTGTAACCAAAAGCCAAATCCCTTTCTCTTTAGGCCAGAGAAGGGCGGACCACTATTGTGATCGCTCATCGCTTGTCTACAGTTCGTGGTGCTGATGTCATTGCTGGTTTTGATGATGGAGTCATCGTGGAGAAAGGAAATCATGATGAACTCATGAAGCAGAGAGGCATTTACTTCAAACTTGTCACTATGCAGGTGCTGTTTAACTCTAGAGTTTTCCTAAATCATTAAACACAATTGTGTGTTTAATGTTATGAATAAATTTTATTTGATTTATCTTGAAAACTAGGGGAAATACTTTGGGATGCAGGATCAGAACAGTGTTTCAGATACTGTTTTTTCTTGAAAAGAGAGGAGCTAAGGAAGAATAATCAAAGAAAATTTAAAAATTAGATTTCAAGATGAGCTTTCCACTATAGTGGTTTAAAGGTGTGCTGTCCCCCATGTGGCTATTGAACATTTGAATGGTGTTTAATCTGAATAGAAATATTTTAAGTAGAAAATGCACAACAACTTCTGAAGAGTAAGTACAAAAAAGAATGCAAAACATCTCAATTTTTATATCGATTTCATGTTAAAATTACCATTGGATGTTACTTATATATATATATTAGGATATATTAGGAAAAATAAAACATACTTAAAATTGATTTTTGCCTCTTTCTTTTCACATTTTTTTAAATGTGCCTACTAGAAAATTTTAAGTGACAAATGTGGCTTATATTTTGCTTTTACCATATTTCTGTTGACAGCACTGGTCCAAAGCAAACTTAATTGAGCCAAATATCCCCAGAAAAAGAAATGACTGGGTACGATACATGGAAGGAATGCCATGGTATTTCAATATATTCAGTGAGAATCCTTGTTTATTGGTTTTCATTTTTAAATATATCACACAAAAAAGAAACATCAGTTTAACTAACTTCATCCTTTCCTGTTATGACTTTAAATAAATTATAGTTCTTGGTATTGATGTCTATTGATTAATTTTCATTGATTAAGTGACCTTAACCAGTTTATGCACATTTCTTGTTCATTATAGACAAGAGGAAATGATGCTGAAGTAGAAAATGACCTTTATGAATCCAAAAGAGAAATTCATACATTGGAAATGGCCTCAAAAGATTCAGGATCCAGTCTAATAAGAAGAAGTTCAACTCGCAAGAGTATCCATGGACCACAAGGCCAAGACCGAAAGCTTAATACAGAAGAGGCCCTGGTATTGACACAGATGTACAGTTTTATGTCCTAAACCTCCCCCAATGGCTCTTCTAGTTCAGTAGGCTGGGGCTGAGGTAGGAGTGGGAACAAGAAATCAATTTCAAGAATTCTTCTGTTCTATCCTCTAGTGTTCCAGAAACAAAAGTGTCAACATTTTACAGTTTAGAATAAGAATTAATGGAAATATTTTTAGAATTACAATTTATAATAGAAAGAAACTATGGTGGGTTCTTCAAATATTAAAATTGTTATTCTGTTTATCACTAGTTATAAATATTCTTGTCATCTTCTGAATGCTAGGCCAAGAGTTAAATGTTTATAGAAACATAATTTATCTGAAAAAATAAAGGACACACTTGTGGAATCTGTTAGCACTTTTAAAAAAAAAATTAAATAGCTATCAGTTGATAAGGGATAACAGTGAGATATTCACTTAAAAAATTATGTGCCCACAGAAGAACTGTACCATCATTATACCAGTGATAATTCTTTTTTAACTAGATTTTTGTATGTTTTATGTTTTATAGGGTGAAAATGTACCTCCAGTTTCTTTCTGGAGAATTCTAAAGCTGAATGCAACTGAATGGCCTTATTTTGTGGTTGGTGTTATTTGTGCCATTATAAATGGAGGCTTGCAACCAGCATTTGCAGTTATATTCTCAAGGATTGTAGGGGTATGTTCATTTTTTATGTCTATTTCTGGGACCTGACTGAAGAATGAATGAAATTTTGCATCTGTGTACATCTACAACACAAAATATGTATCTTTACCTGAAAGCAACTGGTTTAAAGTTGTAAGAGCAGAATTCTGATTTGTGAGAAGAATGATAGTTTTGTAAACATTCTTTTGTCATGGTTTCTGTCTAGAGCCCTGATGATTTTTATCCTAAGTCCCTGGGTACCAGCGCCCTGAAACAGTCAATGAAACTGGTGAAGTGACTTTTCTTTACCTGCCAACATTAAACTCTAAGCAAAGCTCATGGACAATAACTCATCAGTGTGCAGAGGGGCCTTCTCATGTGTTTGTTTGGCTGGGTCAAGCATGAGCTATCTTGTAACATATACACTTGCCAACACATGACCAGGCCTGTACATTACCTATATAAGCTGTCATTTTCATCTTACTTGCTAAGGTTGAAATAAACAAAATCAACCCTTTGTTAATAAGCTTTAAATCACTGTGAAAAATGCCTGAGACAGACAGTTTTAAAAGGCGGAAAGATTTCTTTTGGCTTACAGTTTCAGAAGTTTTCATCCAAGGTCAGCTGGATCCATCACTTTGAGCATCAGGTGAGGACAGAATATCATAGTGCTGAGAGTATATGGCAAGGCCTGCTCACCTCATGGTAGCCAGGAAGCAGAGACAGGTATGGGAAGGGGCCAGGGACAAGATAAATGCTTCCAGGGCACCACCCCACAATGCTCTACCTCCTCCAAATAGGCTTCACAACCCAGTAGTACTTATATTATAAATCCATCAAGGGATTAATTCATTGGTTAGGTCAGCATCCTCATTATTTAGTCACCTCTAAATTAGTAGATCCACCATCTAGAGACAAAGCCATTAGCACATGAGAGTTTGTGGGGATGCTTCATATCCAAACCATAAGAAGCTCCCAGAATATTAAGGTTGACATGTGGGTTCCACCTGATTTGTAATGGTGAACTTTTGATTAGCAAAGTTACAGTCTGGACAGACATGCTTTCTAGTTGGTGAAGGATTTTCATCTGTCAAATAACACTGCGGAAAACATTGTGGAGAAAGGGATTGATCAATAAAAGAAACATAAACCTAGCACTAACTTTTCATTTTTTAAGAAAAAAAAATACAACTATTCAAGTCTACTCAGACCTAGATAGCTTATCTTAGGTTGATATTCATGTTTAGTGTAATCACTTAAGAAATATCTTTTCAGTGCCTTCTTTGTGCCATGTATTTTTCTATTTGCTGAAAAGATACTTACAAGATAAAATATTGGATTTCATAGCCATATTCTAGAACAGGGGCCAGAAAACTTTTCTATAAAGGATAAGAGAATATTTTAGGCTTTGTAGTCCATGTAATTTCTGCTGCATATATTCAATCTGGCCTAGTGGTACAAAAGTAGCCATATTCAATATGAAAATAAGTAAACATGTCTATATTCTACTAAAACTTCATATAAATATTTGGCTGGCAGCCCATAATTTGCTGATCTTAGTTCTAATATATGTTTTGCAGTCAGAGAGGCAGACAGTCAGTGGTATCATCAGAAGAAAATATGGAAATGGACAAGTTAAGAATGGGCTTGGCTGGTTTTAGCAAAAATTTAACTTACAGAGTTGATAGTTTTTCATTCTTTGTGTAAGAGTAAGTCTAGAGGTAGGAGATCCAAAGCAAGCATATTAGCTCCTAGACATTGTAAATAGTGGACTTTGGGTCAGATGGCTTGGGGTTAATCTCCTTGGGTCATTCCTTACTGGCTTTGTTACCTTGAGCAGGTTAATTAATCTCTCTGTATTTCACATTTTCTGTGTAACATAGTGACAAAAATAAAACAAACTTCATGAGATAGTTGTAAGGGTAAAAGCAATAGTGTACACGAATTTCCTTAAAGTAGTACCTGGTATAGAGTAAGGATTCAGTGATTGTAACATGATTTTTGTTGAAATAACTAGCCAAGAAAAATTTGTTTAATATCTTCTACAAACCTTTTTTTTTTAAACGGGATAAACTTGCTGGGTTGGGTCAGGAATATGTCTTTTTTACAAGAGTGATTTTGATCTATAGAAGGGTTGTGTTTCCTTCCCTGTGGAGTAAAATATCCACTGTGTGCCTTAATCCCAAAATGTTCTATCACCCTTCTAAGCCATCTCTGGAAAAATTTCTACATGCAGTGCCTGTAAACTGGCTGTACTTTACAACCAGCTCTCTATTGGCCATCTGACAGGGAATGCTGACCCAGGAACTGCCTTCCTTGGCAAAAGGCCTAAGGACATAAGCATCTCTCTCTAGCTACCAAGAAAGAGTTTATCAACAGATTCTTTCCAGATATCTTTGGAGAGTTTGAAATGTCCATATAATAAAACAATGAGTTACCATACAATGTAGTTTCTCACCAAAAGAAGAGGAGAGTATTTGCTTGTATTTCTTCTTTACACAGTAGGATGGCTGGCACTCATTACTCCAAGAAGAAACCTGAGCAAGAAATTGGTGGATCAATTTGTGAATGACAGATTCTATAGGCTGCTAAGGAATCAGAATGCAGATTATGTTTGAGGTCATCACTATTCCGGAAGTCTTCCCTGAATACCTGTGGACTAAGGCTTTCCTTACCCATAAAACTATCAAATGGGAACTGGGTCAGAACCAGAGCAATTTTTTCAGTGATTGAACTAACAGTCCTTTAAATATTTTCTCTTAGGTTTTTACAAGAGATGAAGATCCTGAAACAAAACGACAGAATAGTAACATGTTTTCATTATTGTTTCTAGTCCTTGGAATTATTTCTTTTATTACATTTTTCCTTCAGGTAAATATCTACATTATTCCTTTATTCATTTGGGGGGAAACTTATCAACATCTGTATAATTTTCCTTTTAGTACAATTTCTCCTCTCTTCACATGATACATTGTTTTGTGTCCTCTGGCTCCTTTCCTTACTTTCTCCTCCCCACACACTCCTTCCACAACTGGAAATACTCGTGAAATCAGAGGGAAGAGATTATTAGTTCTGACATGGTGATGGGGAATAAAAGTTGAGAACTCAAAAATGGCCTTTGGGCAAGGCCTGGATGCAAGTTTGGGTGTAGGTACTGCTGGCCAGTTTTAAGTACTCAAAAATGCCTTACTATATTCTGAAAACAACAATAGACAAAAGTACCTAAGCAGTCATACTGATTTAAAAGAGTTTGAAAAGCTTATCATTCAGTTTTTACTAAAGGAGAAAAAGCCATTTAATGACAGAAGAATGTCAATCTGAAAAACAAAGCATCATAGGAAATATTTCTATAGTCAAATTTTGCAGTTTGCAAAACATTTAGCTAAAATTAAATCACAAAGGAATTGAGTGCTATAGAAGTTTGTAATGGTATGGCATTGCAGTATGGTTTTGGTATTAGAGTTAGGTTTAGTTGTCTCTTGTGCAAGTACCCAACTATATGTCCTTGGGCAAAAAAGTAATTTAAACTGTGTAACTCTCAGTTTCCTTATCTCTCTAGTAAAGAAAATGTTCCTCTTTATGATTAAGAGAGGTCATGGGACCAAATGCCCAGGCCCTTGTGAGATAGTAGTAAATAATGGTTTGTTAAATCAGAGATTTAGCCACATGTGATTTTTATTTTTTAGCAAGACTCTGAATAGATTTATTTAACAGATTGTAAACATGTATTTTTTAAAAGGACATTGTTCTAGACATTATGGGGGACACAAGAGAAAATAACCCTCTTTGTTTATGAAGTATTTAAAGTTTCATGGGGAAATTTGACCTTGCTAGAGTTCATAGGACACTAACTACATACAAGTTTGCCACACCAGCCATTAATGCCACAGGTTGTGGAGAGGTAAAGATTGTTCCTTGTGAGGTTGGTAAAGAATTTAGTCTCAGGTAGGCTTTGATAGTTTGAACCAGGGACATAAAGGGAGTTAAGGAAGTTCCTTTGTATCATGATGATGCTTAGAGAGGCTGAGCCTACCGTGCCTACCAGACCCAGGTTTGAACAGTCTCTGAGTTCCTGGACTTCACAGGTGTAGCAGCAGCATAGTGCCAAAAAGGGAGGAGGGCCCAACTGTTCATTTGAGAAAGAGTTTGGTGGGGAGAAGAGCTCAGACCAGAGTCTCTGGCTTCCCATTCAACTCAGACTCTCATAGACTGAATTCAGATTCCAGCTTGGCCACTTACAATGTGGCCTCTGGCACCTTGTCAGCCTCTCTACACCTCAGTTTGTTCTGAAACATGGTGATTGGGCAGGGTTGTCATAGGACTTGGTGTGATGATGTGTGTAAGGTACAGTGTCAGAATAAGGTAGCTCTCAATAATAGTAGTAATAATAATAATTTTCCCAAAGCCAGGAAGACTCTCCATATTCCATTTGGTCCAACAGCAGAAACCTTCCTGTGACCATTTCCCAGTAAACTGTAGGAGTTTTAGGCTTAACCTTGTTTAATGTAGGAGTTTTCCCTTCTCCACTGCTGCATGGACAGTATGTATTAAGCAGAAGGCTGTGTGGCATTGCAGCATTGAGTAGAGGCTATGTGCCCCCTTCCCTTAATGCTGCAATCTGAGGGGCCTCTGGCCCCACCTGGCCTTCCATTCCATGCTCCCCTTTGTCAGGACACTTGGAGGAAATGGTTATTTCTTCCCTTGTGCCCTTGTATGTGTTTCTTCCCTCTCTCATTAAGGTCCAGCATGCTACTTGAGAGCACACAGCAGGTGTGGCTGCCCTTCTCTGTTCTCTGATTCTGTGGCAGATGCAGAGCTGTTATCAGGTCCTCCCCACTCCTGATATACTGACAGCCATTTCCACTCTGCTTCCCCACGCCAGAAGGAAAGGTGATTACAGCCTCCTTCTGTTTCTGTGTCCCCAAGCTCATTGGAGTGAGGACTCTGTTTTCCTTTCTCACCACATGTGAGCCAGCATGGCAGCACACTCACTTACGGTTGTTTCCCAGTCACTCTGCTCCCTCCTCCCAGACCTAGATTATAGCTGTGAGGGTGGAGAGGTAGACCGCAGATAGCGCTCTCTTGGCCAGGCTTCCTCCTTCCAACCTGTTTTGCTTCCAAACTTTGGGATTTTCAACTTAAAACTAAGAATTTGATATTTTTGTTTTCTATATCTATTATAGCTTAGAAGAATATACATTCTTGTTTTCCCAGATCACACTTCAGGTCCTTGTGTGAAATTTTCAATTTCACAAGAGACCTAATTTTAATAATATGTAATATAGTCACTCTGTTTTGAGTGTTACCTGCTTTAGGAACAACACCAGCTTCCTGAGTGACAGACCCTCATTCACTGTGAAAGTAAGTATGGATAGGAGTGAGGAACAAGGAACATATTTGTAATAAATCCTTGGTCAGCCTGCCAGCTGGCTGGGAATGACAGGGTCAAAACCAGACTCTGCTGGCCTTATCACCAGTGAAGCTTTGCATGTTGCACCTTGCACACAGTCACAAAAAATGCAGCAAATCCTGGAAGTCAGATTTTTCTCACTTTCCGTAGCAACCCACCTTAGGAATGATATCAAGCCGCCTCCTTTTGTGTAATTGGTATCTTGTGTCTGACAGATTTGTATGGCATTTTCTCATTCCTCACAGGGCTTCACATTTGGCAAGGCTGGAGAGATCCTTACCAAACGGCTGCGGTACAGGGTTTTCAGATCCATGCTGAGACAGGTATGGCTCTCAGTGGGTTGTATAGGATGGTCCTCTGGCCCCATGTGCCCATGGACTCAGGCAATGGGAATTCTGTCAGGTTGCTTAGACCAAGATCCCATATTGAGTCTTATCTCACACATGCATATGGATCATCCCCAGGCGAAGGTCAAGGCCTTATAATGTGTTCGCTCCAGCTGGGCACAAGGAACTGAACTTATCTGAGACAAGTGGAGTCACCTGAGTGGATTCACCACCTCCAGACTTTTGTCTCAGTCATAGGCAGTGCAGGTGGAGGTGATCGTCAGTGCCCCTCATTTCCTCTCTCCTTTTTTTTTCTTCCTTGTCCTGTGTACTCTGCATACTCTATCATGTTTCTTCCCACCAGGAGATGTCCTGTGCATTTATTCCACAAATCCCATGACCCATTCCTCACTACCCAGTTTCTTTGTTGGGGCTACACTGATGTGCAAATTCAAGCTGCGGTATTGCTGGCTGATGAAGGCTTAATAGAGTGCCTTTCAAGTTCATCTTCAAGACCCTAACAAAAGATAATATGAATATTTTCTCTAGAAAGGGGCAGAGGGATGTAGGGAAAGAAACCCAGAGTAGCCCAGTTCAAACTGGGAAACTTCAATCATCAAGAAAATGCTATATGTGACCTAAAAAGTTTCCTTTTTAAATTAATAACCACTTGTAAAAAATGATGCTCTGGAAGATACCCCAGGTGTTCCAAGGGGGCTTGAACTCCAGCTAGGAAACATTGGTTTGCTGTATTAAGATTTCTTGAGGATATTCTCATCTTCCCTCCTATCTTTGGTACTATAGCTCTTTCCTACTCTTCCCACTATAATATAAAAAAAAAAAAAAACACTTATGGGGATTTCCAGTTAGTGATGTATAAAACCACAACTGAATCTGATGAGTAAGAGTGCACTGTTTGATAGAAGATCCTATCTGTGGACTCTGAGGTCAAACTGTATTATAAGTGAGATTCCACTTAGGCTCAAGACTGACCTTGGTCCAGGGCCAAATGCCCCATCATCCTATCAGCCTGCAGGCCAAAACCCAGGTCCATTATACTTTCGCAGTTGAGTGGACAGTTTGTGTAAGACCCTCTCAATAAATTATTGAGCATAGCAAAAATGTATTAATGACACTTCTTACAAGGCATTAGTAGTAAGTGTTGTAAGGCATTTAAATGTCAATGACACAGTTTTCAAGGAAGTTACATTCCTGAACTGAAACACTTAAGCCCTTCAGAATACTAAAAAGCAAACTGATATAGGGTATAATGCAGTATAACACTGGTTTTTCCTTAAATATTTTTTTAAAAAATCATCATTGTTGCTTTAATGCAAATCACCAGTTCAAATAACATTTTACAGATCACAGTTATTTGTAAAAGGCATAAATTTAAACTTCAAGTCACAACCATGTACTTTTTTAATTTAAAAATATAAGTGATTTTATAAAAGAAATTTTAATCTACATTGTTTCATTGATTTGTTTTTAACCCAATTCACTTATTCTTCCCTGAACTAGAATTACTTAATTGCTTGCTCAACTTCCTCTTTGCATATCTAATAAGTGCTTCATGCTTTAATATTTCCAATCTTGAACTTTTGACCCCTCTTTTCTACCAGGTTTACTCCTTATGTACTCTTTGCCCCTATTGGTAAGTGACCTCACCACTCTACCAGCCCTTCAGGCTGACACCCTTGATAGTTTCTCTCTCTCTGTTTAAGATTTCAGTGTCCTCCTGGCTGATGTCATTGTTCCATCCTTACCCCAATACTGTAAAATCCCTTCCCATCAGCCAGAGTTGTTGTTCACAAAACACAACCCTCTAGCCAAAACTTACTGAGGCTTCCCACATGACTCAGGGTAAAGATTGGAATCTTCATAGTTGCCTAAAGGCCCTACATGATGTGCTAACCCCCCTACCTCTCAGACTTCATCTTCTGCAATGTTACCCTTGTCCAGTGTACAACATACTCCCCACACAGTGGGTCATTGCACAGAGCGTGGGAAGAGGATCATAGAAGCCACTTGTCCTCAGGTGGCTCTGGCAGCCTATAAGGCTTTCTTGCTAGGATGTGAAAAGATCAAGTGTGCCTTTGCCTCGGGGCCTTTGCATGTGCTGTTTCTTCCCTTCTGTGGCTCTTATCCCTTTATTCATTTAGGTCTCTGCTCAACCTTCTTCTTAGAGAGGCTTTCTGTCTCTTTCCCAGATCTCAAGTAGCACTTTCCCTTATATCTTTGTCATTCATATCTGCTGTTTTTTTCCATAGTGTTTCTTACCACCTGAGATAGTATATTTATGTTTATTGTGCCTTCTATGTCTACAACCAAGGCTTTGTTATAGCAGCAACTTTATTGTTTTTGTTTACTGTTGGAAAGATCTAACACTTAGAAATCAAACTTGGGACAAAATAGAGCCTCAAAACTTTTTTTGACAAATGAAGTCACCTAATTATGTGATTATGTGTTAAATCCTTTTCTTATTTATTGATTGTTACATCCTGAATGCTCCTCTGGAGCTGAGACTGTCATAAACAGGGCTTTAAGAGAATAAAATCTCTTTTGTGCTACAGGATGTGAGCTGGTTCGATAACCCTAAAAACACCACTGGAGCATTGACTACCAGGCTCGCCAATGATGCTGCACAAGTGAAAGGGGTACGTGCCTGCTTGCTATTGGTGTTTGTCTCCATTCCATTTTAACCTCTATGTGAAATTCACTTTCTTTTAAATGTGTTATCATATCATCATTGTTATTTTTTAGAAAAAGATGTGGCACATGCTTTATAGCAAGAGTGTTAACTATTTAAAGATTATAAAAATATAGTATATAAAGAAGGTATAAAATTTTTTTTGAGGGGGGCACTGGGGTTTGAACTCAGGACTTTGCAATTGCAAAGCAGGCTCTTTACCACTTGAGTTCTTTCCTCTGGTTATTTTGGAGATGGGTTCTCCTGAACTATTTGCCTGGGTCGCTATCTGCCAATCTCAGCCTCACAAGTAGCCAGTATTATATGAATAAGCCACCGGCATCTGGTGCTAATAAACTTCTTACAAGTAAAGCTTTAGTTTTATTTCACAACTGAGAAGGTAAGAATAAATTTTCATACTTGTAAAGAACATATAAGCATCAGTTGTAAAGATAATACAAATACTTGTTTCCAATGTGTGTTTCAGGCTATAGGTTCCAGGCTTGCTGTAATTACCCAGAATATTGCAAATCTCGGGACAGGAATTATTATATCCTTAATCTATGGCTGGCAATTAACACTTTTACTCTTAGCAATTGTACCTATCATTGCAATAGCAGGAGTTGTGGAAATGAAAATGTTGTCTGGACAAGCACTAAAAGATAAGAAAGAACTAGAAGGTTCTGGGAAGGTGAGTCAAACTAGCTCTAAGTGCTTACTTTAATTGAGAAAAATATTTTTAGCAGTGATGTTTTGTGCTATATTCTGACATGTTGGTTATTTTGTTGTTGTTATTTTTTCCAGTACTGTGGTTTTGAATTCAGGGCCTTGAGCTTGCTAAGCAAATGCTGCAGCACTTGCACAATACCTCAGTTCTTTTTGCTTTAGGTCTTTTTCAGATAGGGTCTCCTGCTTTTGCCCAGCTGCTCTCAGATCCTGACCCTTCTATTTATGCCTCTCAAGTAAATGGAATTACACGAGTGAGCCACCACACCTGGTCTTTCATGGTTTTATAACTATTCCTTATAGCCATTATTTTTATGCTTATTCCGTAAGTCATGAACTAAAAAAGTAGGAAACACATCCTTAGCTCAAGACTGATACCTGCTTTTCACAGGCTTTTCTGGTTTCAGGCCATTGTCTTCACATTCTCCTCTCTTCCTCTCTACTCCCCTCCTTCCTCCAGTTTTTTCCTTCTTTCCTTTTCCCCTCTTTTTTCTCTTTCTACTTTCTCTCTTTCTTCCTCTTTCTTTCAAGCATGTCTATTCCTTTATTGAAGAAAACAGACCCATTTTATTCCTATGCTGGAAAAGTTTCAATGTGGGTAAGTCTTAAGAGTATACTCTATCTAGTTTAAAAGAATATTGGTATGGTGATATACCCCTGTAATCTAAGCACATAGGAAAATGAGGCAGGAGGATGTGAATTCAAGGCTAGCCTGGGTTACACAGAAAGACCTTGTCTTGAGAAAAAACAAAGATTACTGTTCTTTTCCTTCTATAATTTCTTCTTCCTTCATCCCATTTCTCTTTTTCCTGCTCCATACATATTTTTTTGTTTCTGTATGCTTTTCTATTTTTCTCATTATTTAACAAATACTTATGTAGCATTTACTGGGTTTCCTGGCAAATGCTGTTTTCCTTAAAGGGACCCTACAAGATAGGCTTTATTTTTATCCCATTTTTCAGGTGATGCTGAGGCATAGGCAGGCAATGTCCTCAGTGCCATAGAGCTGATAAGTCTTGGAGCTAGGATTCAAACTCAGACAGTTGTGCTTCTATTCACTAGAAATCAAAGAGTTCCTGAGATGGCAGGACATAATTTACTATGACATCATCTGGATCACTGCAAAAATGAGAGGACATAGCAGGGATGATCCCTGAAACTGGACCTGATGTCGAAGTGGGGATAAATGTACTGATGGCCATCCCAGGTTCCCAAGAGTTAGAGCAGGGATCTAGGCAAGTAAGAGAGTCTCTGGCTCTCAGTAAGCCATGTATCTGTGGTCCTTTGTCTCTGAGCCATGCATGTCACCACATGAATGATGAAGAAAGACCCAGAGACTGGTCATTACCACAGACCCTTTGTCTTTTGTCTCCATGCATGTCTGTAGGCTCCTCACCCTTTTTTCTTGTGGTTCTTTCAGTAAAATTCTTTGAACAAGTTTTAATGCTTCCCAACAAGTGATTGTGGGGTCCATGTACACTGTCATCAGGATGGCGGTGACCCCAGGGGTCTAGTTGTGGTCTGGCTCAGGTAACATTGGCCAGCCATGGAACACATGCTGTGCCAACAACTTCTTTTATTAAGTGCTTTAGATTTCTTTCCCTTTATGCTGTTGATCCTTCATCTGGAGAACAAATGGAAGAATCTATGGCATACTGTGAGAAAAGCATTGCTGCTTCATAGTATCATTATTGATGAGATGTTTGAAGTATCCCAGAAAGGAGTCTTAGGCTAGTTGTAGGAAGAAGAGGGATCAAAAGCTAATTCCTTGCAAATCATAGCTAACCATCACTGAAATGTTACACTAGCTATGAGACTCTTGGAGTTCTGTTAGAGGCGTGAGGAAAGGAATGTGGATGGAGACGTATATGTGAGAATATGGCAGATTTTCTGAACAATGGTCAGGCATGTCATAAATTCTCTAATTCACTGGTGGCTCCTCACGGAGACAATTGTGTCTACAGGATATTTACAAATGTATCACAAACAGGGCACTCCTGCCTTAGAAAATGGTATTCAGAAAATATTTCTTAATATCAATAAACTGAAATTGATAGTACAGGTTGTTGTTTGCAGACATTGTTACAGTTTTTGAATATTCTTACCAATCCAGGACCTCTTCTATGTGTTTGTTTGAACCCTTATAATAAAAAACTATTCTAATGTATGTGAACAAAGATTGTGTTTGGGGATTTGATTGAAGGTTGTTTTCCCTCTAAATTCTTGCTTTCAGTACTTTTAGGATATTCTAAAATGAATATATTATTTTTAAATGTGTAAAAGAAGTTTATTAAATATATCAACATAAATTAAATCTTAATATTTTCCTGGTGTTCTACTAAGTAGCTTATGATATAGTTCAATATTTTCAACCTGTATGCAACTGAGGATATTTTTTATTTTACTTTTTATTTTTTTTTTCATTTATTCATATGTGCATACAATATTTGGGTCATTTCTCCCCTACCTCCTGTCCCCTCCCTCTCCCCCCTACCCCTTGCTTCCAGGCAGAAACTGTTCTGCCCTTATCTCTAATTTTGTTGAAGAGAGAGTATAATCAATAATAAGAAATACAAAGCAATTTTAGTAGTTGAGATAAGTATAGCTATACAGAGAGATTCCTAGCATTGCTTCCATGTACAAATGTGTTACATTCTAAGTTGATTCTTCTCAAACTGACCTTTTCTGTAGTTCCTGATCCCCTTCTCCTATTGGCCTCTGTCGCTCTAAAGTTCCTGCATTAGTTCCTTTGCATTGAGGACATCAAATACTATCATGTGTTTTGGGTTTCTTGCCTATCATCATACCGCCCTTGTGTACTCTTGCCTTATCATGTGCCCCAAGTCCAATCACATTGCTGTATTTGCCCTAGACCTAAGGTCTGCATATGAGGGAGAACATACGATTTTTGGTCTTCTGAGCCTGGCTAACCTCGCTCAGAATGATGCTCTCCAGTTCCATCCATTTACTTGTGAATGATAAGATTTCATTCTTCTTCATGGCTGAGTAGAATTCCATTGTGTATAAATAACACATTTTCTTAATCCATTTGTCATAGTGGGGCATCTTGGTTGTTTCCATAACTTGGCTATTGTGAATAGCGCTGCAATAAACATGGGTGTGCAGATGCCTTTGGAGAAACCTGTGTCGCATTCCTTTGGGTATATCCCCAGGAGTGGGATTGCTGGATCATATGGCAGATCTATGTTTAGATTTTTAAGAAGCCTCCAAATTTTTTTCCAGAGTGGTTGTACTAGTTTGCATTCCCACCAGCAGTGTATGAGGGTTCCCTTTCCCTCACTATTTTACTTTTTAAATAAATGTTTTAAAGACTATGTTAATTTTTCCTTCTAGTAGCTTTTTTTGCCCTAATCTTTAAAACTAACTTAATGTCCTTTGAAGTATTTTCTAATATTTTTGAAGTTAGATAATTTGTGTAAGATTCAGTTAATAGGGAGATTTCATGTTTATCATTTTTAGCTACAAATTACTCTAAATTAATTGAATGTGTCTGTACTAGAATCAGTTCTGATCAGTGAAAAGGCAAGAAAAAGGAAGAACATCTCAAACTAAGATTAATTTCTTTTTTCTATAATTTTAAAAGGACTTTAGAGATCCTCTCATCCATCCTCTTCATTTTACAATAAATCAGCTGAGACAGTGGTGGATCAAGGTCCCATGGCTGATGTAGACTGAAATGTCATTGAGTCTCATACTGTTCTTTGCAGTCTCATTATTCCTTTCTGCAAACTCCAAAGAGTAGTAAAGGATGTGTCTTAATAAAACAGTCTTGTTGGAAATGTGTAATTAGAGAATAATTGAATGATTGAAACTTTCTGGTAAAAATTGATAATATATGTCATATTCCTTAAAATAGTTTACTTTCTTTGAACTAGTAATCTCACTTTTAAGAACTTTTCCTAACAAAATCATTCAACATGAACAAAGCTTAGGTACATGAATATTTAGCACAACATTATTTTTAGTGAGAAAAAATTGAAAACATTGTTAAGAATGCCTGATAGGGATATCAAGTAGCTGGAAAAAACTCCAACTATTAAAGTACATTTAATGACCTTGGAAAATACTTTTGATATTTGTTAAGGGAAAATGTAATGATAAAAGCTCAAATATAAAATTTGATCACGACTTTGTTAAGGATATGTATGGCTAGGAAAAAATGTATAAGCTGATGTATAAATACACCAGTATGTAACATTTTATTACCTTCTTCTTTTCAATGTCTACAGTATTATTGAGTGTCATGAATGGCAACTACAAAGAAAAATATAAATATCACATTTCAAAAGTATGTAAAATAACAATGAACTTAAAATGGAGCCATCACAGAAAAAAAAGGTCACTTCAAATGATCTAGAATACTGAGTTCCCAGATAAATTTTGGGAGGTTAGGTAAGAATATGTGGCTTTAGATAAATGCCTTTATCCCTTCAAGCCTTAGCTTCTCTTTCTATAAAGAAGGGATGGATGAAGCAATTGACCTCTCTTCCAGATCAAAAATTGACTTTGATAAATTGCTTAATATTCTTTCCATAGAGAAGATCCTCACAGGTAATAACTAAATGCTACACAAGTAATACATAATCATAAGCTAATTTTCTTAATCTAGTTTATAGAATTCACATTAATTGTTAGCCCTTGCACCTCTTGGTGTTACAGATTGCTACTGAAGCAATAGAAAACTTCCGAACTGTGGTATCTTTGACGCGGGAGCAGAAGTTTGAACACATGTATGCACAGAGTTTGCAGATACCATACAGGTAAGAACCCCTGAAAACTGGGAGGGGAAGTAGGAGGAGCTTTTCAGTCATTCATTTGTTTTCAGAAAGATTACATTGGTCAGAAGGTAAGGCACAAATGGAGAAAGTACTAGAGGGAACCAGCTGGGAAGCAGTTGTAATTATCCAAGAGAGAAATGAGTAGATTCAAACTAAGGCAGGAGCATCTCTGGGATAGAACTTGTAAAGGCTGCTAACAGAGGGGGAGGGAGAGGAAGTCAAGAACGCCGCTGATGTCCAGTTTTGATTATGACCCTATTATTGCTCTAGCTGACGATGAGAGTTCTGTACGGACATGAAATTTTGAGTATTGTGGGACACTGAGGGGTGGCGCTTCCTCAGCACACTTTTCATTTCTTTCTTTACTTCTCCAGTGGAGATTTTCTGTTCTTTCTTTAACATAGCCATCAGAGTGAGGGCTCTCTAACTTAGTTCCTTCTCTAGTAAAAGGACAGATGTGGACCTTATGGGCGGGTTTTCAGACTTATTTTTGTAAGGTTAGTAGGGCCTCTCTTTCTGAAAACATTTTTCTTTGCAGTTCTAATATAGGAGAAAGATAAAGGCAAAATTGATATGGTCCAAGCAGAATTAGAAAGTCCAGAGGTCTGCCCACTTCCCAACCCATTCCTGTCCACACCTCCACCTCACTGAGCTCAATGTTGCTCAGAAAGCCCTAGAATATTAAACCTTGGAATAGCCTTCTCCACCTCCCCCAGACAGTTAAGTAGTGCTTCTCTCTTCCCATAGCATGTTATTCAGAAATAATGAACCAGCTCAATTCCAAGGTCCCCACCACAGAATGTACCCTTATCCCTGTATTACTCAGATGGTTCTTGCAGCTTATAAGTGTGGATAAATGTGAGTGGAGTGACTGTTTCCTACAGAGGACACATGTGTATATGTCCAAGAGTTAGAAGAAAGGGAAGAAGCTTTCATAGGCTTAGTTTATCTTTATAGCAACACACTGAGGTATATTTAATCCTGCTTTAAAAATGACACCAAGGCTGAGAGATGAGGCAGTTTCCTAAATTCACATAACCAGTAACTTTAATGAGGATTACACTTAATTCTTTAGACACTAAATCAATTTTTGTCATTTTCTGTGCCAACTGGTGAAGTTAGATTTTAAGAACTGAGAAATAAGCAGAATAAATTTTCAAATGTCTCCTTTCCAGAAATTCCTTGAGAAAAGCACACATCTTTGGAATCACGTTTTCCTTCACCCAAGCAATGATGTATTTTTCTTATGCTGCATGTTTCCGGTTTGGTGCCTTCTTGGTGGCTCGTGAGATCATGGATTTTGAAAATGTTCTCTTGTGAGTATTGGGTTAATATTTATAATTTAACTCTGAAAGTAAATCTGAGGTAATTGTGCTGAATGTCTGGTTAAAAAACCTTATGGGGAAGTCTGTTGAAGACATTTTGGTGATTGAGAATGTGGCATTTTGCCTGTGTCTTCATGTGTTATCCTTGAATCACCCCCTTTTATCAGTAACTTCTTCTTCCCAGTGCTGATGCACATTTCTGACCTTTTCAAATCTGTGACTGGGTAGAGTGATTCAATTCAGAAGTCTCCAGAAAGCCTTGGTGTTTTGGAAGAATCCTAACCCTGAGCAAGGAGTCTGATGACTCCTTGTATAGGGATTTCCCACAGGGCAGCTAAGGTATGGAAGTGGTGTGCTAACTTCTGCAACTCCTGGGAGATTCTAGGATAAGTTCATTTTTTCTTGATTAAAAAAATTTGCAAGTTAAGAGGTAGAGAAATTTTAAAATGACAAAGGGAAAACTAGATTGGGAGTTTTTTGCTGTGAATATAGAAAATGATCCCTCACTCAGGGGAAGACAAGCCTAATTTAAATTATACTGCTGAAGTGCCTAAATACGCAGTTTGGTTGTCAATAGTGTGTGTAATCTTATGTGCTTCCTGATTTGGTGACAGGTACAACACTGCCCTTTCATAGCACAACATATTTAGTACTAATACAGATTTACATTGAAACCAGAATCATAATAACCTGACACAAGTTAATATAGTATTTTTGTCCGGTGTGGGGATTGCCTTCTTCATGCACTATAGTTAGTTCGGGATGACCCGAACTAACTCGTATGTCTGACAAACGACATGCGAGTACTATTTGTGATTATGACACAAAGATCAAAATCAAGTATCATTGATATCGGGGGCTTGCTTGAAAAATCATTTGGTATATTGATTAGTGCAAGTCTTTCAATTGATGAAAGTTGCTGATACTTCATCCTTAGATTTGCAGAATAAATCTTCCATGTAAGTAAAGGACCTGTCTGAAAAAGCAGTCCATTTGGAAATGGTTCTTCAGGTTGAAATGATTACAAGGTCAAGATTAACCATGAGTGTGATTTATTTAGAGCAAGTTTTGTAAAAAATAATAAATAAATAAATAAAAAGAAAACAACTGGCACAATGTACTGCTTCAACACATGTTTATAGTCAGTATTAGGCTGTGTTTGGTGATACATAACCTACAATCTCAGCTGCTAGGGAGTTGGAAATAGGAGGATTGTGGTCCAGGGCCCACCCCAGGCAAAATCAAGACCCTATCGGAAAAATAAACAAAAGGACTAAAAGTATGGCTTAAGTGGTAGAGGACTTGCCCAGCAGGCACAGGCCCTGAGTTTGAACTCCAATACCAAAATAAAAAATATTGGGAAGAAGAAAGTGATTGATTCTAAATATTCTGGGAAAGTTCTGAAGTAATATGTCAGTGATTGAACCATGTTTAAAAAGACACATTGACAAGCATGTCCTGAGGGGGGCAATGAAAATAATTATCAAAGAAGAAAGGACATTTTTGACAAGATTCCAATATTTGAAGGTCTCTCTTCTGCAAAAAGAATTCAGTTTTTCTCCAGTTAAAAAAAAAGAACTTTTTAACAGTAGACTTAATCAAACTTGCTACTCCCTAGAACAGAAGATGGAGACCAATTTAGGGGAAGTTCCCTAAATTGAGGAATTGTGCAATTCCCTTAATTGCCAGATATTGAAGGCTGGACTTGGTGCCTCTTAGCTCTTTTCAAGCTCTGGTGGCTGTGATTCCCATGTCAGACAAATCTTGAGAGCAGCATCATATATAGGTGTGTGAGGAACTCTTTCTTTATAGCATGGTTCACAGGTTTTCATTTTTTTTCCTTTCTCTTTTTTGTTAATTGTTTGTTTCTTTTTCTAGTCAGATTCTCCCTATTTAGCCCAGGCTGAACTTGAACAAGTAATCTTCCTGCTCAGCCTCTCACGTACTGGGATTTCAGGCATGTGCTACCATGACAAGCTGGTTCACACATTTTCTAAGAATCCCATGTCATTCTACCAACACTGTCAGTTCCCACAATACTTTGCAACAACCAGCCCTGAGCCTCAGTAACGTAGAATAATAAACATTTATTTTTGCCCAAAGCATGTAGGTCAGTTCTCCTAATCTTGGTAGTTATAGTGGATCTAAGCTGGCATCACTCGTGTGTATAGTGAGCTGTAATCTAGGTGGACAGAGAGAGAGAGAGACGGAGGAGTAGAAGGCAGAAAATGAATCATAGGTGTAGAACTGACAACAGTAATATACATCACACCCTGTGGGCCATAAGATAACCCAGATTCAAAAAGCAGGAAAATAAAATCTACTTCTTTTTTTTTTTTTTTCATTTTTCTTTTATTATTCATATGTGCATACAAGGCTTGGTTCATTTCTCCCCCCTGCCCCCACCCCCTCCCTTACCACCCACTCCACCCCCTCCCTCTCCCCCCCTCAATACCCAGCAGAAACTATTTTGCCCTTATCTCTAATTTTGTTGTAGAGAGAGTATAAGCAATAGTAGGAAGGAACAAGGGTTTTTGCTGGTTGAGATAAGGATAGCTATACAGGGCATTGACTCACATTGATTTCCTGTGCGTGGGTGTTACCTTCTAGGTTAATTCATTTTGATCTAACCTTTTTTCTAGTACCTGTTCCCCTTTTCCTATTGGCCTCAGTTGCTTTAAGGTATCTGCTTTAGTTTCTCTGCGTTAAGGGCAACAAATGCTAACTAGTTTTTTAGGTGTCTTACCTATCCTCACCCCTCCCTTGTGTGCTCTCACTTTTATCATCTGCTCAAAGTCCAATCTCCTTGTTGTGTTTGCCCTTGATCTAATGTCCACATATGAGGGAGAACATACGATTTTTGGTCTTTTGGGCCATGCTAACCTCACTCAGAATGATGTTCTCCAATCCCATCCATTTACCAGCGAATGATAACATTTCATTCTTCTTCATGGCTGCATAAAATTCCATTGTGTATAGATACCACATTTTCTTAATCCATTCATCAGTGCTGGGGCATCTTGGCTGTTTCCATAACTTGGCTATTGTGAATAGTGCCGCAATAAACATGGGTGTGCAGGTGCCTCTGGAGTAACAGTCTTTTGGGTATATCCCCAAGAGTGGTATTGCTGGATCAAATGGTAGATCGATGTCCAGCTTTTTAAGTAGCCTCCAAATTTTTTTCCAGAGTGGTTGTACTAGTCTACATTCCCACCAACAGTGTAAGAGGGTTCCTTTTTCCCCACATCCTCGCCAACACCTGTTGTTGGTGGTGTTGCTGATGATGGCTATTCTAACAGGGGTGAGGTGGAATCTTAGCGTGGTTTTAATTTGCATTTCCTTTATTGCTAGAGATGGTGAGCATTTTTTCATGTGTTTTCTGGCCATTTGAATTTCTTCTTTTGAGAAAGTTCTGTTTAGTTCACGTGCCCATTTCTTTATTGGTTCATTAGTTTTGGGAGAATTTAGTTTTTTAAGTTCCCTGTATATTCTGGTTATCAGTCCTTTGTCTGATGTAAGTTGGTAAATATTTTCTCCCACTCTGTGGGTGTTCTCTTCAGTTTAGAGACCATTTCTTTTGATGAACAGAAGCTTTTTAGTTTTATGAGGTCCCATTTATCTATGCTATCTCTTAGTTGCTGTGCTGCTGGGGTTTCATTGAGAAAGTTCTTACCTATACCTACTAACTCCAGAGTATTCCTACTCTTTCTTGTATCAACTTAAGAGTTTGGTCTGATATTAAGATCCTTGATCCATTTTGAGTTAATCTTGGTATAGGGTGATATACATGGATCTAGTTTCAGTTTTTTGCAGACTGCTAACCAGTTTTCCCAGCAGTTTTTGTTGAAGAGGCTGCTATTTCTCCATCGTATATTTTTAGCTCCTTTGTCAAAGATAAGTTGCTTATAGTTGTGTGGCTTCATATCTGGATCCTCTATTCTGTTCCACTGGTCTTCATGTCTGTTTTTGTGCCAGTACCATGCTGTTTTTATTGCTACTGCTTTGTAATATAGTTTGAAGTCAGGTATTGTGATACCTCCTGCATTGTTCTTTTGACTGAGTATTGCCTTGGCTATTCGTGGCCTCTTGTGTTTCCATATAAATTTAACAGTAGCTTTTTCAATCTCTTTAATGAATGTCATTGGAATTTTGATGGGAATTGCATTAAACATGTAGATTACTTTTGGGAGTACTGACATTTTTACTATGTTGATTCTACCAATCCATGAGCATGGGAGATCTCTCCACTTTCTATAGTCTTCCTCAATCTCTTTCTTCAGAAGTGTATAGTTTTCCTTGTAGAGGTCTTTCACATCTTTTGTTAGGTTTACACCTAGGTATTTGATTTTGTTTGAGGCTATTGTAAATGGAATTGTTTTCATACATTCTTTTTCCGTTTGCTCATTGTTAGTGTATAGAAATGCTAATGATTTTTCTATGTTGATTTTATATCCTGCTACCTTGCTATAGCTATTGATGATGTCTAGAAGCTTCTGAGTAGAGTTTTTTGGGTCTTTAAGGTATAGGATCATGTCATCTGCAAATAGGGATATTTTGACAGTTTCTTTACCTATTTGTATTCCTTTTATTCCTTCTTCTTGCCTAATAAAATCTAAGAAGTATTAGATGAAATGCTGCAAAAGTCCTGTAAGAATTTGAAGGTAACAAAAGAGGTTTAAAAATGGGGCATTTAAAAATCAATCTGATGTTAACTTATAAGCAGAAGTGTTTTATTTGTTCTATTTTTTTTTAACTTCTGCTTTATAATTATTTGAGGCAATGCTCCCTGGGTGTAGAATTGTCAGCTTGCTACCATTATAGCCACAGTTCTGTGCACATGTTTTGACTTTTGTCCTCCAGGGTATTTTCAGCTGTTGTTTTTGGTGCCATGGCAGTTGGGCAGGTCAGTTCATTTGCTCCTGACTATGCCAAAGCCAAAGTGTCAGCATCCCATGTCATCAGCCTCATTGAAAAAATCCCTGAGATTGACAGCTATAGCACAGAAGGACTGAAGCCGGTGAGTTTGATGTTTTGGGTATGTGATCTGTTCCTAACTCCTCAGTGAAAGTATTCAAGGAAATTTAATAAAATTTGTGCTTTTTAAAAATATTCTGATAGTATAAGATTTTGGTTACAGTTTTATTTTAGTAAATACTGATAATAATATGTTAACATCTGGCACTTTACATAGCAAAATTACAGGGAGATAAGAATATTGTAAATCCTATTACTCAGGCTTTCTTATTGTAGGTAACTCTATCTAGGGGAACTGATTTTACACATTTATATGGTACATTTGTATTGTATTAACAATCCATGCTATAAAACCATTGACTCTTTTAGATCTGATTTATTAAATTCCAGGAGCTTGAAATGAAGCTCACATATAATGGGAGTTCACTCCCTTCTGATATACGGTAGTAGGAAGGGCTAGTCCTATCCTGTGCTTTCTTTTTTTTTTTTTTTTTCTATCTATCCTGTGCTTTCAGTATTGCAGCAATCAAAGTTAGTGTTTTTTTTCATTTTAGAATATGTTGGAAGGAAACGTGACATTTAGTGGAGTCATGTTCAACTATCCCACCCGACCAGACATCCCAGTGCTTCAGGGACTGAGTCTCCAGGTGAAGAAGGGCCAGACGCTGGCCCTGGTGGGCAGCAGTGGCTGTGGGAAGAGCACGGTGGTCCAGCTCCTTGAGCGATTCTATGATCCATTGGCAGGAACAGTGGTGAGCACACTTTCATATTCAGATTATTTCAGGCCTTTCATTTTGTAAATGCCTGGATGTGCTTAATTCTCAATGATAAGCCACAGTTTTTCGCACCTTTAAGCAATAATAGCCCCTGTTAAATAAAGTCTTGGCAGCTAGGTTTGGTGTCCAAGCCCAGCTATCTTCTCCAGCCTCTTCTCAACAAAGCCCCTTTACCTTCCTGTGTGCACAGCATTGTCACTACCCATCTCCCTTGCTGTGGTTAGATTTTAGCTGATATGAGAAAAGCCAGAAAAAGCTGAAGCAACAGAAAGATGAGGTGGTTCTAGGAAAAATAAGTGAGAGGAAAACAAAGGATGGGGCATATTTCAAAAAGGAAAAGATGGTCAGGGAGGACAAATGCTATGGAGAGATTATATAAAATAACAGCTGAGAGACATGATAGGATCTAGTAATTAATATACTATCTCTGACTTTGTTTTTTGTTTTTTGGTTTTTTTGGGTATTGGGGCTTGAACTCAGGACCTATACATTGAGTCACTTCACCAGCCTCTTTGTGTGAAGGGTTTTTTCAAGGTAGGGTCTTGTGAACTATTTGCCTGGGCTAACTTCCTGTGATTATGTTAGTTAGGTAATACCTGTATCCTGCCATTAGGGATATAAGCCTGGAAGAATTATTCTTCTAAAACTCCTCCTTTCTTCAAATTTCCTTTTCTCAAGTATGGTGTTCCAATGAGCAAGATCTGAAGCTTGGCACATCCTTACATGTGGGGTTTTTTTTGTTGTTTGTTTGTTTTTACTGCTTCTCTCTACCCTCTATTTTCTACCATCACCTGTTAACACTGTTAGGAAACCTAGATCATAGATGCTTAGAAATGTTTCCATGGCAACTGGCCTTGTTACAACAGGTCATGGCTGTGCTTCCCATCCCTGCACCTGCAAGCTTCACATGCAATAGCCAATTTCTTGCAGCACTGATCTACCTCACTCCTGGCCAGCTGTCTCCCAAAGCCCTCAGCCAAGCATAGGATACAGAGACTACATGTGGCTCAGCACACATTTGTCACCACTTGGAAAAACTGAAGCTGAGTCACTGGTGTGTCCTTCAGAAGACATGAACAGCTTTCTAGCTGGAATGAGAAAAAATTCTTCTACAAAGCCAATCTATTGGGTGGAGATAATCTGCATCTGAGAGTAAGGCTTTTCATTAGTGATGATATAAGGAACCTGCCCCAGTGTTTTGCAGGATGTTCTAGGGAACTAGGTTACCAAGGGAAGGGAGGCCCTTTCTTTCCTACTCCTGTGCTTCAATATTGAAGGTGCTGTGTATATTTTCATACACTTGATCATCTTCTGTAGTTCCCAGCATATCACACATGCAGATTTACCAGTTGCTGTCAGTCTTTGAGCACATAAACTGTACATGGGGTCCACATGTGAATTCAGTCCTCAATTTTGTGAGCTTCAGAATTATCATCATTCCTGTTTAGCCCATGGAGAAAGCAAATCAGAGAAATTAATTCTCTTTCCCAAGATCAACAATCACAGAGAGATTCAGCTTCTACCCCACTATGCTCACTTCTATGCCACATTGCATCTGATCTGCAAACTCAGGTCAGATCAGAAGCCTGACCTACAAACCTGTTGGATAGTTATACCTGTTATTTATATCCATGTCAATACTGTACATGTTTTCTGTGAAGTATAATGAAGGGGTATGAGGCATTACATTAGTTTCCTATGGCTGTTATAATGTATTAACATAAATTTATCATTATACAATCATGGGGGCTGGAAGTCTAAAAAAAGCTATAATCAAGGTTTCAGTGAAGTTATGTTCCTTCTCTGGCTTCTAAGGGACAGTGGTTTTCTTCCCTTTCATAACTCATGGCCCCTTCCTCCATCTTCAAAGCCAGCAACAGCTAACCAGGTTTTCTAATATTGGCCAGATTCGATACTCTCCTGCCTTCCTCTCCCACAGTTAAGAAACCCTAAGATTACTTTTGGCTCACCAACGGAATCCAGGGTAATCATCTTATTTTAATGTTAGCTGATTAGCAGCCTTAAATCCATCTGCTACTTTAATGCCTCCTTGACTTGTAGCATGATATAGTCAGAATCTCCAGGGATTAGGAAATGGGTAACTTCTAGGAGGAGGGACCTTGTTCTGCCTTCTGAGGCATTTATCAGAAACTAGGGTTAAAGCATAAGAAAAGTGACATCTCCATTGTTAGATTAACCTTAGAAATTCCATGTAAAAGAACAAAAGCTTTCCCTTAATCTCACAGTAATGTGGCAGTGTTATGGTATGAAATAATGATGTTAAGTTTGCTAAATCTGAAGTGTGCTGGTCCTGAAGTTGATCTGTGAGCTTTTATCTCCAGCTTGTTGATGGCAAAAAAGTAAAGGAACTGAATGTCCAGTGGCTCCGAGCACAGCTGGGCATTGTGTCCCAGGAGCCCATCCTGTTTGACTGCAGCATTGGTGAGAATATCGCCTATGGAGACAACAGCAGGGTTGTGTCTCAGGATGAGATCGTGAGGGCGGCCAGGGAGGCCAACATACATAACTTCATTGAGTCACTGCCTGACGTAAGTCTCTTGAGCCGTGAGTGTTTAGCAGCATCTTCAACAGTCTTTGTGATTTTTTTGGGAGGGAGGGATTCTGCTGTGGAATCAAACCCTAGACCTCACACCTGGTAGGCAAGCACTTTACCATTGTGCTACAGTCCAAGTCTATCATTTGATTTCAGAAAGTCTGGTTTCCCAAATGTAAAGAAAAATTAGCAAACAAAACATACCTCACCAGGTTAGGAGCATCTTGGATGGGCATGCCTATTCATATCTGTAATCTCAATTACTCAGCAACCAGGCCAAATAGTTTGTGAGACCTTATATCAATAAACAAGCTGGCATGAAGACATATGCCTGTATTCCCAGCTATGCATGAGGCCAAAGGCAAAAGGATTAAGGTCCAAGACCACCCCTGTCCAAAAGTTTGAGACCCTATCCAAAAAAATTAAAGTAAAAAGACCGAGAGGTATGGAGCATCGGTGCAGCACCAGTCTAGCAAGTGCAAAGCCCTGAGTTCAAACACACAGTACAGGAAAAAAAGGCATCTGGTCATATTTCCTTCCTGGATAGATGTTATGTTTATCTGTTCATTTGATTGTCCTTTGAGGAAAGGACAAAAATATTAGGCCAATATTCTATCAAAATTAGGTAGAAAAGTGAAGAACTTTCTGAGGGAAGAGAACTGAAACAATTCTCTAGCTCCTAGGCTTAAGTCAACAACCAAGGATAAGTACAGAATTGAAGGGAGGCTTTCCCTCCAAGTCCAAGAACAGAGGCAGCAGGTGGCATCTGAGTCTCCACCTGTGGACATGATGCTTCTGGTCCTGCCATGGAGGCAGGCATGATATCCTTCCCCACTTCTATCCTCTCTTTCTCTTCCTTTTTCCAGTCTTCCAGCCTTACTCTATAGTGAGGCTAGACAGACAGCTGTACCAATGCCAGAAAGAGAGCTGCCTCTGAATAGGACTGAGCCACTGGACTGAACATGGTATTATGTAATCACTAATCATTGCACCTTTCATGGGCCCCGTGCTCTGTTTATAGGGTTGATTGTTAAGTTTTTCCTGGGCTGCTTCCTATAGACATCCTCTCAATTCCTCTAGGAAGCTATGTTAGTAGAAATTCTCACCATCTCTTAAGCCCTTTTAAGAAAGGGTGAAGGAAAGAGGAAAGGAAATGCACCTAATCTAGCTAATCTACTCCCATATCACTAGTTATGTTCTTTTATTATGAGGAAGTATCCTGCAGAATAAAGCCCAGTCAGGAAGGCAGTCACCTCATGGGGAAGGATGACACCAACAGGCAGCTTGAACTCTTTCCAGTATCTCCTTTTTCCTTAGACTCTTCTGCAGATAACTGCTACTCCCAAGCACAGGCCCCAAGGAGGAGATCTTTTCCTCCTCCTGTGCTTTAACAGTTTAGCCCAAACCTACATAACTGACTCTTTGAGACTTGAACATTTAAAGTAGACAATTGTGATCTCCTTTACTAGTAAGAAGTCAGTGGTTCTCTTAAATTTGAATGTGGGTCAGCACCACCTGGAAACCTGCTGGAAATGTAGATTTTTCAGATCACACCATAACTCTGCTGAATAGGAAACTTTGAGGTCAAGTCTAGCAACAGTCTGTGATTTAATAGTTCACGTGATACCAATGCAGGGTACACAACACAGAGATTAAGGATTGTCTGGTTCTTAAATGTAAAATATATTCTGTCTACCACAAGGACCCTACATTTCTGGACTCCTGACCAAATTCTGTCACTCACACCACCCCTGCAGACATCAAGATTCTTTTCCTTCTGATATGCTAGACCAGCAACCTAAATCCCATTGTTGAAGGACTGCTTCTTCTCATGAGTGATTAGCACCAGGATTGACCTACCCTGCAGAGCTGATGCCTTTCCTCTTCCTGCAGGATCACAGCACTGCCCTTACCTGCTGCACCAGGATCAGTGCTGTTTCACCTCAACCAAGTGGTCCTTCCAAGGCAGCCAGAATGTAAGGTGTAGTCAGGCTCAAACATCTGCCACGTTTTACCAGGGGATTTTCACTCCACCTATAAGAGAGGAGGAGAGGATTGTTCTGAGTACCCCAGAACGAGGGTTGTGAGCTACAGCAAATAAAAATGGCAATCCAATACAGAACATGGATTTCTAGTCAAACTGCATATGTAAAACTCAGAGCCCACAGTTCAACTATACTTAAAAGTATAGTTTCAGGCCTGTCAAGAGCCTGAAAATAGTAAGATAGTACTGTTATAGTTACACGTACTGCCACATCCCACTTCTGCTATCTTATACAAGCCCTTTAACTCCTGTCCCTAACATCATGTGGAATAGTCAGTGGCAACTCTCTACAGCAGGAAGTGATGCAGGAAGAAATTTGGAAGAACTCAAAACATGTAAAGGGTACTTCAGTATTCAAAGCTAGATACCAGAGTACAATTCCTTAGCATCCATTAAAATTGGCTAAGTGTTGGAGGTAGTTTCATAAAAAGACACCAAATACTAACCTCCCAAGGATTTTTTTCTTTCCTAACCTCAAAGTCATGCAGAGAATATCACCTACTGGTTAGGAACAAGATGAGCTTCAATTACTGGGTACAGTTGTCCAATCAAATTTCCTTTCTCCTACCAATCTTTGTCCCAAATATGTAAAGAAACCAGAAGATGGAAGGTAGTACCATTGTAGCAGTTTTCTTATATATTAATATTCTGACTTATTTACACTAAAGCATATAATTTCATATCCCACATGTCTTTTTTCCAAAAGAGAGATTAAATGTACCATTTAGAGTATTTTTTGTTTCTTTAAACCTATTTTTAGATTCTAATCCTAAATATAATTTTTCCATGAGAAAATGATCCTCTTTTCTGTGAGCAAACTGTGAGTTTGAACTTCATTACAAGTTCTACTTTCCTAACAACACAACCCCGTCCACAGAAATACAACACCAGAGTAGGAGACAAAGGAACTCAGCTCTCTGGTGGCCAGAAACAACGCATTGCCATAGCTCGTGCTCTCGTTAGGCAGCCTCATATTTTGCTTTTGGATGAAGCTACCTCAGCCCTGGATACAGAAAGTGAAAAGGTAAGGATTTAAGTTGGGTTCATTCATATTCGGATCAGTTGTTCTTAAGGTTTACATTTAATGTGTTTCTCCATAGCAGAGAATAAAGTTTAGCCAGATACTGATTGTTACTTATATTAGCTTCCAGTAGAATTGAAACAAATTTTGTAGTTGGAGAACTGGGATGATATGAGGCAAATTATCCTCCAAAAAACAGCTCTGCTTCATTTTGTGTTCTACTTAAAAGTTGCATGCAGGAGGCTTATTTCCCACTTCTGCTGGTAGTGTCTCCTAGGCAACTATGAGAAAAGGTGGACATTCAAACAAGGGTAAAATCCAGCTCTAACTTAAGATAATTGTTGGTAATCATTCCTGGTGAATAAGTTATGAATTCATCTATGTACAGACCTGATGGTTATGAGATGGTTTCTATCTCTAGAATTGTAACATTCATGGAGGCTTTGCTTAGCCTTTGCTCAGTCTTGTTGATTTTGCTGTGCAGTGGGATTACAGGGTTGCTTTTTCAGATGTTGCATCACAGGCACATTTTGGAGATGTTTTTAAATGATTGGATGGACTGTACTTACTGCCATAACTTTAAGAATATATATCTTCTCTCTCTCAGAACTGATCCAAACTAGGGATTAATTTTATTCTGGCATGACAGATCCCTTGGTTTCTAAATTCTGTGACATTCACTGACACCACCATTAAAGGACATAGTTGAGAATTTGCTATGGAGGGAAAATTAAAGCAAGAACAGTATTATTATCAGTTAATTTATATTTTTGGGACACGGTGTCCAAGAAGCCCTGGACAAAGCCAGAGAAGGCCGCACCTGGCATGTGATTGCTCACCGTCTGTCACCATCCAGAATGCAGAGCTAATCGTGGTGATTCAAAATGGCAAAGTAAAGGAGCATGCACCACCAACAGCTGCTGGCACAGAAAGGCATCTATTTTTCAATGGTCAGTGTCCAGGCAGGAACAAAGCTAGTGAACTCTGACTTTACAAGATAAAATTATTTTTTTAATACTTGGTGTTTAAATATAGCATTTAATCCAGGTTAAAAAGCAAGCACTTATTGGATTTGGTAGTTAATCCATTCAGCATTTCCTGCCACAATTGAAGATTATCTTCATCAAGCTCAGAGTCTTCAGAGATTTCATATTTAAAGGAACAGAAACATCATCAAATGGTGGGAGGAAATGGTTTTCATTGCATTGTACAAGTCATAAAAAAATTTACAGTAGTTTTTTTTGATGAAATGTGTACTTTTTGCTTATACTTCCCTTTGGATTATAACTGATTGCCTTCCTATAAAAGTATAGATGTAACCAAAGTACTCAAATGTTAGTATAAAGTACATATAAATAAAACTGAACTTTCCTGTTTACTGGAAGTTACCTTGCCCCAAAATGTGTGTGTATATTCTTCCAATTGAAATATGGCTTTAAAAAATTTAGGCTTTAAAATATTCTAGGGGCAGAGATCAGGTGGATTGCAGTTGGAGGCCAGCCTTGGCAAAAAGTTAGCAAAACCCTAATTCAAGAAACAACCTGGGCATGGTCATGTGCATCTGTAGTCCAGGTAAACCATGGCAAGTGAGGAGGATGTGCCAGTCTGAGGCTGACCCCCAGGCAACAAAAAACAAAAACAGAAGATCCTACTGAAAAATAACTAAAGCAAAAGGACTTGGGTTGGCACAAGTGGTAAAGTGGGATAGCACCTGCCTATCAAGTGTTGGTCCCTGAATTCAATCCCACTAACTTCCCCCCCACACACACCAAATAAACAGATTCCTTAAAAAGACACTTACTTGAGGCACTGGTTAAATGTTTTAAGTAATTCATATTCTATATCTTTTCACATTGAATCTTATAGAACCATCTGGTTTCCTACTTCTGGACTTGATCTTGTAGTCTATACATTTCCATATTATGATTCTTCAAGCTTGTACACAGATCAATAAGAGATTTTGGGAGGTGGAGTGAGGGGCAATTATGAAGTAATATATTACTTAGATATACCTCAGATATTTTGAAGTGTCTTAACAGTGCTCGTGAGATATTTTCATTTTTTTATATCTGCAGTATAATCACTGTTCTTGTTTTGATAATGAATCACTTCTCAGAAATTTGTGTCTTCCATAGTTGTCCTCCTGGTTTGCAAATGTTAAAATATCTCATGAGCTAAAACATGTCATGATGCAAGTACTATGAAAAAAAAAAAGAAAAGAAAACATCACAAAGACTGGTGCTGTGACTTACAAAATTTTGGAGACTTAATCCAAAAGCAATGTAAACAAGTTTGAAAGTCATAAACTATGGCGTCATATTTACCATGATTATTGTGAGCATTGACCTTTAATTTGTGAAAGAATTCTAAGAAGAAAAAAAGCCATTTTGAAAAAAAAAATGAGCAAAAGATATGATCAAGTGATTCTTAAAGATAAAATTCATGAGGCAAATAGAGTACAGTTTCACACAAAAAAGAGTAAAAGTAAGTGATGTTCTTAGTCAAGGAAGAGCTTTTGCATGGTATGGCTAGCAAAAGTAGAATAGCCTATGAATGATAATCTGTGAAAAAATGAATACTTACTTTTCTGCTTTTAAAAAAAGTTGAATTTTAGAGAATGGAAAGTAAAGGCTAGAAATGCTTTGAAAACCTGTGTTTTGTGGGCATAAGAGAGACATAGATTGTAAAATTGAAAAGGTCCTCTACATGTACATGTTTAGAAAAGACTGTTCTCTTAAAAAGAAAAAATGAAAAGGAGAGGAAAATGAACAAGAAACTCAGTTGGAACAGAGACACCCAGAATTATTTAATATACATATTTACTGGTAACACTTGGTGACAACTGGATGTGACAGATGGTCAAATACTAGCCAATGATGTTTCTGAAGTTCTTACAAGTCTTAAGTTAGCTTAGAGATCCTGAACTTACATGCATCAATCCAGGGATTTGGAGGGAAAAAAAATGGTGAATGTCAATGTTTCATGTAGACATGACAAAAAAAAAGATCTTCAGCAAGGCATATTATATCAAACATACAAGACAAATAGAGAATTCTAATAAAATGCAGAAAAAGCACCAAGTCAAATTTAAATGGTACCCCATTAGACTACCAGCAAACAGAAGCCCTGATCTCAACAGAAAACCTTTACAGGCCAGAGACAGTGAGATAATGTTCCAAGTCTTGAAAGAAACGGACTACCAGCCAAGAATATTTACCAAAAAAACTATTTTTCATCAATGAGGAAGAAATAAATTCTTCCAGAAAAGCTAAAGCTGAAGGAACTCATCACCATCAGACCAAGAAGCAAAGGAAAATTTCTCAGCATGAACACGAGAACCCGGTGGGGTGGGAGTGGTAGCGAGCAGAGTACTCCTAAGCCAACACTTGGGAGACTGACGGCAGGAGTATTGTTGAGTTTTAAGGCCAACCTGGGCTGCAGAGAAGTTCCAGGTCTACAAATGGAGACCCTGTTCTCAAAAAAACTATGAAGACATAAAGAAGAGGAAAGACATGAAACGTAAAAACCCAAGATGAGCAGATTGAACAAAAAGAAAACATGGGTAATAGTCAAAATTTATCAGCAAAGTTAAGCACCAAAATGAGCCAAAGATGAACCAAAACAGTGGAAGAAAAACAAATAACAAAGAATGTTTAAAGTAGAAGAAATCCATAAAATGGCAGGAGTAAGTCTAATATTACCTCAATGATAACCTTGAGTATAAGTGGATTAAATTCCACAATTAAAGGATAAAAATTGGTTGAATAGAAAAAAATATGCTAACAGAAACTCACTTCACCAGTAAAGACACACAAACTGAAAGTGAAAGATGGATAAAGTTATTCTAGGCAAATTGAAGCCAAAACCAAGCAAGAGTAGCTATACCTAAATCAAACAAAATAGAGTTACAGAAAAAACTGTCAGAAAAAGGTCACTCTACAATGTTCAAGGGGATTAGTTTAAACAAGAAGATCTAAAAAGTGTTAAGTACATATGCATCTAATGTAAAAGCATGCAGTTTTATAAAAGAAATATTATGTGACCCAAAAGGAGAGATAGGTCCCAGTACAATTATGATGTGAGGCTTCAACACCCCACTTTCATCAATGGACAGATCAGAGGAAAAAAAAATCAATAAAGAAACATCAAAGTTAAACTATACTATATAGACCAAATAGACATAACAGACATTCACAGAATGTTTTGTCCAGTGACTAAAGAACACATTATTTTCAGACATTCACAGAATGTTTTTGTCCAGTGACTAAACGAACACATTATTTTCATCATCACATGGAGCATTCTCTAAAATAGAACACATATATTAGATCACAAAATAGTCTTGATAATTGATTCAAAGAAATTGAAATAGATTTCTTCTTCTGACTACAATAGAATAAAACTAGGAATCAACAAAAGAAACTTTAGAAATTATGCTAAATACATGGAGTCTGAGCAATACATTTTCTTTTTTTTTTATTCATATGTGCATACAATGTTTGGGTCATTTCTCCTCTTCCCCCACACCCTCCCTAAACCCCCTGCCCCCTCCCTCCCCATCCCCTCGCTACCAGCAGAAACTTATTTTGCCCTTATTTCTAATTGTGTTGAGAGAGGTATAAGCAATAATAGGAAGGAACAAGGGTTTTGCTAGTTGAGATAAGAATAGCTATACAGGGAAGTTGACTCGCATTATTCCTGTGCATGTGTGTTACCTTCTAGGTTAATTCTTCTTGAACTAAACTTTTCTCTAGTTCCTGGTCCCCTTCTCCTATTGGCCTCTGTTGCTTTAAAGTATCTGCTTTAGTTTCTCTGTGTTGAGGGCAACAAATGCTATCTAGTTTTCTTAGGTGTTTTACCTACCCTCATACCTCCCTTGTGTGCTCTTGCTTTATCATGTGATCAAAGTCCAATCCCCTTGTTGTGTTTGCCCTTGATCTAATGTCCACATATGAGGGAGAACATACTATTTTTGGTCTTTTGGCACGTGAGCAATACATTTTAAACAAACAGTGAATCATTGAAGAAATGAAAAGGAAAAAAAAATTAAGTTTCTTAAAACACCTAAAAATGGAAATACAATGTACCAGGACTTCTGGAATAAACCAAAAGCAGTAATAAGAGGAAAGTTTAGGGGCTGGAGCTATATCCCCATGATAGAAATCTTGCTCACCCTAGTTTTGATCCACAACACAGGGAGGGGGGAAGAGAGAGAGAGAGAAGAGTTCAAATAGACTTCGAATAAAATGTAATTCATCTGCAGGACCTAGAAAATCAAAAACAAATCAAGCACCAAATTAGTAAATGGGATAAAGAACAAAGCAGACATGAACAAAATACTCTTAAAAATGTATCAATGACACAAAGACCTGAGTTTTTGAAAATACAACAATTGACAAATCTTTAGCTAAACTAACCAAGAAAAAAAAAAGATGAAAGTCCCAAGTAAAATTGGAGATGAAACAGGATGCATTGCAGCAAATACCACGGAAATTCAAAGAGTCACTAGGGACTATTATGAACAATTATATGCTAGCAAATTAGAAAACCTGTAAGAAATTATTAATTTCTATATGCAAATAATCTACCAACAAAGGACCATGTCATGTCATCAAAAACCCAAATAAACCAAAAAATATAAGTCATCACATTAACAGAATGAAGGATAAAAATCACACAATTATCTTAATAGCTCAAAGAATCATTTGACAGAATCCATCATTCCTGATAAAAATCATGAACAAATTAGGTACAAATAAGGACTATATATGACAAAACCACATCCAACAATGTAATAATGAAAAAAAAAGTGAAAGACTTGGAATAAGGTAAGGATGCTGAATTCAATCTATTACTGGAAATTTTGCCCAGATAATTAGGCAAGAGACAGAAATAAAAAGTATACAAATAGGAAGGGAAGAAGTCAAATTATCTTTGTCCACAAATGAGATGATTCTATACATAGAAAAGCTATAAAGACTCCAACTGAAAGACAATTAGA